CTAGCTGCAGTGTGACATCACAGGTGTTTGGCTAGCTGCAGTGTGACATCACAGGTGTTTGGCTAGCTGCAGTGACATCACGGGTGTTTGGCTAGCTGCAGGCGCCTCTGTGAAGCATGTCTGTCATTCCTTGAGTGCAAAAGAAATGCAAAGAAATAACTCAGTGGGCACTGGTCTTCCTGCCCACCCTTTGAGACACTGGTCTGCATCTGTGCCTATTGTGGCCACTATAGCCTTTCACAATAAGCAGGTGATGTGTTCCAAAGAACTCTCCCTCTACCGCCTTGCCCAGGTAAGGTCCAGCCTTCCTGTAAAAGAAGTGCAGTTTCTATCTCCAGCCATGACATGCCCTGCAAACCTCCCTGATAAGATGCCTTCTCTTTTCCAGATAATTGCTTATCAGCCCTATGGGAAGTCCGTGGATTGGTGGGCATTTGGAGTCCTGCTGTATGAAATGTTGGCTGGACAGGTAATTGAATTTTAAGTGATCTGCAAGAAAAGTCCTCCTCCAGCTCCATCCACACAGTTTCTTTAAAAGAACTTGTCAGCTTGGTAAGAGTCACACATCTGAACCTTTTCTGGCTTTGGGGTTATCCAAGTCTGTTCACCATTTTTCCTCATCTTCTCCTTGAAAGCCCTGGAGTGTGGCCTCACTGTGTGCTCCAGGGAAGAGGGTCCACCAGTTGGGAGCCACTGAGGGGTGGAACTGGGAGGCTCAGGCAGGGATCCTCCTTCTCCCACTCTTGTCTGTCCCACAGGCGCCCTTCGAAGGGGAGGATGAGGATGAACTCTTTCAGTCCATCATGGAACACAACGTGGCTTATCCAAAGTCCATGTCCAAGGAGGCTGTGGCCATATGCAAAGGGGTGAGTAATCTCTTAAAGCTCGCGGCCACCACATATAGGGGTGCAGCTTGTGCTCTGCACAGGGATGACCCCCGGTGGGTGGGGGAGATGGAAACAGAACTCTGTTTGCCAGTGTGAGGGCCCTGGCATGGAGCCACTACGTCCTGGAGGAAGGAGACCTTTTTTCTAATTTGTACAAATGCGCCACAGAGGCCTGGCTGCAATGGCATCTTGCTGCTGGCTGGATGCCAGCATCTAGCCCAGCATGGGGATTGCTCATGAAATGAATGAGGAAGAAAGCACAGAGACTTTGTCAAGAGCTGGGACCAAGGGGCAGGGCCACAGAGGTCTTTGGCACAATTAGAGCTACCCTTGCCCTGCTCTGCTGCATACGTGTTTAGTAAATGTGAATACCAAAAATGTGCAAGTTTTGTTCTAAGAAAATGTCAGACAATATTGAATTAAAGAGATTCTCCAGCTAAACTGACTCCAATTCAGTATCTCCAAACCCCCACTCTCCTCCCACCTCCACACACACACAAATGGCAAAAAGGGTGTGTACATGTATACACCTGCAGCTTATGCAAATTGTACCTGTGAGGAAAGCAGGACATATGTTTACTGGTGAGAATTGTTATGCATTTTGTGTTGGGCCAGGGATGCGAATGGTGACTGGTGTGAGAGCCTTGAGGTCAGTGGTCCTCACTTTTGGAGGCCCCGAGTGATCTGAAGTGCTTTCCAGAATGCACGTGTCTCAGCCTCACCCCAGAAATTAAGTCTGGGCATCAGTATTTTTTAAAAGTCCCCATGTGGCTTGAAAAGCACTGCCTGTATAAGAGTACTGTCCAAAGGAAGTAATTTTTCAACTCTGAAGGAAGTGTGAAAGCAACATTATGAGAGTCCCAGAGAATATGGTCCAAAGATGGTGCCTTTGTGAAGTATTTGCTCTCCCTCCAACCAGGGGTGCAGGCAAGTTCTCAGGGTTGGAACTTGGCTGTGCCCTAGCTGTGGGCTCCCACCTGTGTGTTTGAATAAACCGGGGCTGCCAGGCCTAGATCTGTGGGATGTCTGCAAATTTCCTATGCCTTATCCAATTCTACTCTTCCTAACCCTACTCAAGATGCTGTATGAGCCGGCTTGGACGAAGACAAGCTGGAACACTCAGGCAGACCGTCCTGCAGCTTGGCTCAGTCTGTCATAACTGAGCCAGCTCTGCAGCCTGAAAGCACCTTGTCACATTGCCTAAATTCCCACTCTCAGTGAATCACCAAAGCTTTGTGTCTCAGCTACATAGGTAGGATGCAAATATCCCTGGGAAAACCACATGTGAATTAGTCTCCGTCCTTAACTTCTTAGACAAGTTGATTGGAAATACTTTCTTTGAGGGTGTGAAGCAGGAAGGGAAACAATGAAGAACAGATTGGAGACCTAGAGGTTCATTAAGAGCTTAAGCAAAGCCCTGGAAGAAAAAAGAAAGCACAGACTAAGGCCGGTGCAGACTGCTGTGGACATGTCAGTGGAGGCAGGGGGCAGTTGTGAGAAGAGTTGTACACTGAGCTTTTGGTTTGCTTGATCATTGCCAACATGTAAAGATCAGGGAATTTCTCATAAACATTCGGCTTTCCAGTTTCTCTTGAACAAAATGAGATCTTTGCCACACTGGCCTGTCATTTCGGCAAAGCATCAGTCGACCAGATTGAAACTACTGCCCTCTCTAATTTGCAGAAATCCCTGATGCTTCCATTCCGTCGGGGTTCCAATTCTAGTCCAGGTGTCCTTAGGAAGATGACTTCATCTGAAGATTGAGGATAATAATAGCCCTACATGTAGAGTTCTTTGATGATTAAATGAGTGAATACCTGTAAGTCACTTAGAACAGAGCCTGGCACTCTGCCCCCAAACCCTTGGAGGTTACTTTACTGTAACGAATGCTGGTACGACACTGCTACGCACCAGGTTTCTCTTGGCATTTGAATTTGCAAACCTGCATAGTGACTTTTAAAAGTGTGGGATTTGGGAGATCAAGAGACCCTTTGCAAAACTTGACCCTTCTTGGGTACATAGTCTTAAGCAAGTTCCAGTGTATTTCCAGGCTTCTGTTGCTTTATTTAAAAAAAAAAAATAGTATTACTCATTGGACAGTATTTATATACCCCTTTTTGAGAGCATTACATGCGCTCCTTGCATGGTGTCGGCACACAGTAGGTGTTCAGCATCTGCACAGGGTCTTCCCCTTCTGTGCCTGCCTTGGTGGACAGCTGGGGGTTCTAAGTGGGTCATGGAGGAGAGAGGATTTTCCAGGTCAGCTGCATTCAGCTTCAGCTCCAATTAGCAGTTTCCCTGGTAGAGCAGTTTTCTATTAATTCAGGACCATAACCTTCACGATTAACTGGGGTGACTTCCTTACTTTGGGGTTTGGGGACCTTTTTGAGTTGAGTGGGCTGAGTCCAATGTGGGTTCTTTCTTCAAGGATGATGCCCCACAGAAGGGTGACGCTGAAGCAAACAGCCACATGCTTCCTCCTGCACAGCGGGCCCCAGGGGATGCATCTGGGAGGTGACCAGAGATTGCAGCTGTGATTAAATCCAGCTGTCTACATGGCTTCAGGCACATCAGAGCAGAGTGCGGGAACTGGGCAGAGATTCCAAATTAGTGCTGGGTGTTTCTGCAGTGGCTTTTCTTTGCTTGGCATCTTCCAGCTTAGAAAGAAATCAAGCCAGTCTTTTGAAACAGTCACCTTTCAATGGACAATGTGCTCTTTATATGTCCATTCTGTTAAAGACCCTATTTTCTACCGTTAAAGAATTGGTTAAACTTTGAACAAGCTTGAAGCAGACAGAAGCCCAAAATGTCTGCACATTAGCATGAAAACCAGCAGAGGTTGAATAGCACAGAGCTATACGATTTTGGGGTCCAGCACATGTGTTCAAAGCCTACCTCTGCTCCTTAGCTGTGTGACTTATACAAATAACTTCTCTGGACCCGGATTCCTTATCTGAAAAATTAGGGTAACAGTTGCTGTGGCCTCAGAGTATTGCCATAAAGATGAAAAAGTAATGGGTCATGGTTGGGAAGCGTTGAGCACAGAGCCTGAGCACATATGAGGTTCTCATGCTCAGTACCCAGCAGCCGTTATTGACACTATTACCAGTGCTAACCAAGACCTCATTGCCTTTTCTATCCTTCCATCCTAATCCTTCACAAATGTCAAAGCTTGACTACAAATATCCCTGCAGAAACCACATGGGAAGTGCCCTCACACTTCTCTTGAAAGCCAAAGTTTTGGAGTTAGGCAGAGTGGGATCCAATCTCAGCTCTTACTTACTATCTCTGTGGGTCTGTGGAGTTGCTTAATATCTTTGAGTGCCCATTGCCTTTTCATTCAAATGGGAGAAATCATATACTTACCTAATTAGGATGAGATCATGCATGTAGATACAGAAGTAGGTTAGAACCTAAATGTCTGATTATTTTTGACCCTGGAAGGTAAAGCATCTATGGCCAGTAGGTGCTTATGTGTGTGACCACAGATTATCGTGTGAGCAGGAAACGGGCTGTCCAACAGTGTCGGTGTGAACTTCTAGGTTCATTCCTTCCTCATACTCAGCAAGTCCTGGGGGAAAAAAATCCAAGGATTCTGATATCATGGCCTGCTGGTTGTCAAGTCAGCCCTGGGAAGCTTTTTGGGTTTGTGTGTTCATTTTCTTTCTTTCTTTCTTCTTCTTTTTTTTAATCACCAGCTCCTCTGTCTCTACTCTCTGTGCATTTGCTGAAGTCTTGAGATCAGAGATATTTTCATGCTGCTCTAGATTCATTTACAAGAGAAAGCCTGTCTGGTTTCATCTCAGAGCATCTATTCATCTTGTTATTTAGCACTGGCTCAGAGACCCAAAGATGGAAGGTTTTGATAATTAAGTAATTTAAACAGAACACCAAAGAAACCTCAGCGGAGTTGAGTGTAACGTGTGATACAAGGGAAATGAGCTAGGCCAGGTTTTGACTATTTAATGAGCTTTCAGAAAGTAATTACTTGAAACTTGGGTCCATTTGGCTAATATTTTTTTCTTCTGTTGTGTCAATTTTGCAAATGCTTTACTGAGAAATGCAAACAGCGTATGACTGAATGTGGCCTTTGCCTTGGTCAAACTCCAGTTTTATTGTGGTGGGGGATGGGGATTTTGAAGATATGGAAACTGTTCTCATTAAATGCACCAATAATTGTACATAACTCGTTTTTGAACCAAAATGGGTCATGTGGCATTTCTAACGTGACATTCATGGCCACCTTCAGGCTTTGGTTTGGTCACCCATAAGAGATCTCCCTGCCCTAGCAGCTGTCACTGTTGTGGGGTCCCCTACTATAAAGTCCTGTCTGGGATTAATTGTAGGCAAAAAAATAAGAACTAGTTGAGATTCTTCATTGTACTTCCTTCCCCAATTCATTGGAGCAATAATTTCTGAATGTCTTACATTTCCCCTTCTGAAACTTGCTCAACTCAATGTTCTTCTTTCTCTTAAAGCTGATGACCAAACACCCAGGCAAACGTCTGGGTTGTGGCCCTGAAGGTGAACGTGACATCAAAGAGCATGCGTTTTTCCGGTATATTGATTGGGAGAAACTTGAACGCAAAGAGATTCAGCCCCCATATAAGCCAAAAGCTGTAAGTAAACTGTTCTCTCTGAGTGTCGGCTACTTGTACATGTAATCTTTCCCTTGTCCCTTTGTGTGCTTTGAATGCTGAGGGGTAGACGTCAATGTGTCTACTTGAATACATCTGTATGGACTCACATTTCTGCACAGAGTCACTGAGTACAAAAAGGGAGATTTCCATTCTCACAGCCCAGCCTCTATAAATACAGAAAAGACAACTGATATTGAATTTTTGTTTTATTGATTCAATTATTGTAACTGTCTTAGCTGACAATGTTTGGAGAATGGTTCTTGGGTGAGCAAGGTTCAGATCCATTTTTGGATGGTGATAAAGAATCTAATTTTGCCCTTCTTCTTTCCTTGGTTCAACTATGTCATTTTCTCTTCATACTGACATTGAAAAGGTCATGTTGTTTATCTCAACAGTATTTAAATTTAATTCTGAAACATACACCACATCTGAGTCAGTAAATAAGACAGGAGTTCTCCAGCCAGCTCCCACCCAAAGCAAAACAGAATGAAGCAGAAGTTGACATGCTCTTGAACTGTAGACCTCTTGGAAGCTTTAGGGGCAGATAAAAATTTGAGTTAATTCTTAGAATGCAAGAATAAGTCCGTGTACCCATGGGAAGGTGTACTATCCCCAAAGACTCAGCTGAGAGTACTTGTCAGCATCAGCGTGCAGGAGATTGCACCTGAATTAATCAGAACTGTGATTCTGCTGGGTACATATTTCTTTGTTAAATTAAGTAGAGGGCAGACCTGGTGACTTGATTATGAGGTGTGAAACTACCGACTGAGGCTGAAAAGTGAGCATAAACATTACCATTGAGGCCTAACGTTGTAAGGGCCTCTGTGTTAAGATGAAGACGATGATAAGGGTAGTTATTATTTGATATTATGATATTATTGTTATTAATTTCTTGAGCACTTATATGCCAAGCACCACATTAAGCATGTCACACACAGCATCTAATTAAATCCCCACAACAGCCTATGAATGCTGGTGGTTTTATTCCATGCTATGGAAGAGGACATGGAGGCACAGAGAGATTAAAGTGCTATGTCTAAGGTTACTCAGCCAACGTGAGGCTCCAAACCACAGTCTGACTGTATCAGAGGCCACCTGAATGCCTGGGAGCAAAGGGCATGGAGCGTTAAGAAAGTTTCACAGGTGATTCTCACATCTCCACGTGGTGCTGCACCTTTCTCTCGTTCCAAGTGGTTAGAATCTCAGCTCTACAGGTCCTTGATGAGTCCTGTTTCTTTCTAGATTCTCCTTGGTGTTAGGAGGCCAGGTCCATTAGAGAAAGCCGGTTCTACTTCATGGCTCTTCTAATGGTCACCAACTTATTTATATATTGGTACCAAATCAGCCTCCCCCAAGCTGCAGAGCCTGTTGTGTAGACCCTCTTTCAGACATTAGCAGATGCTGACTTGTACCCGTGAACCCCATGATTTCCAGGTTAAATCCTACTCCACCCCCTCCTGGAAGTATGTCCCATATGGTATCACTTCCAGGTCAGGTCTGCTTTTTCTCTAGGATGTCACATTCACCTTAAAACCCAGACACAGGATGGAGCACTATACTCCTAATAGTGTTGGACTCTCAGTAAATAGAGTGAGTCAAATAGTCTCTTGATGATTCTAGAGCTGGTGAACTTGGGCTAGTCAGTTTCCCTCTCTGATTCACTATTTTATCATCTGTAATGCAGCGATGATAATAGTTTCAACATCAGAGGATCATTACAATGCATAATGCACTCATCACAAGTCTGGTATGTGATGGGCACTCGGGGAGAGTTAATCATTGTTTTTGTTAGTTATGTCATACGTTAATTAATGTCTCAGGTGCAGGGTCTTCCAGGGGCAGAACAATGTTAAGTCCTCTGAGATAATATCTGTATGTATGCTTGGGTTTGGGGAGGTCCTTGCGTGTCATAGGCAATATTTCCAGTTTGATTGAGCCACTTGGAAAAAAGTTCAGAAGGGAAGCCGGAGAAGAAGAGTGAACTCTTTGTTCAGGAAACTGAGAAGGAACTTGAAGGTGGGACACACAACTGATTTGTTTTTTTTGGGGGGAGGCTATTAATGAGGTCTCAAAACATGAAAACACGAAAACCCCCCCCTTTTTTTTGGCTTGGCCAGAGGAAAAAGGCAAATGCTCCCGACTCAACCAGCATGGAAGTCAGTGGACATTTGAAGTTCATTCTATAATTGTAGAGCAATAGTTTTCAAAGTGTGCAGCAGTAGCAACACCACCTGGGGACTTCAGGAATGTCGTTCTCCAGCCCCGCCCTCAGATCTCCTGAATCAGAAACTGTGGGGATGGGGCCCAGTGTTCTGTGTTTAATAAGTCCTCCAGGTGACCTGGTGTGTACTCCAGGTTGAGAATCACTGCTGTGGGGTTTAGGGTTAAAAGCTTAGGCAGGGGCTCAGAGCCCACAGCATAGTGGTTACAGCACCAGCTACATACACTGAGGCTGGCGGGTTCCCTGGTGGGTTCAAACACGGCCTGGGCCAGCTGAACAATAATGACAACTGCAACAAAAAAATAGCTGGACGTTGTGGTGGGCGCCTATAGTCCCAGATACTTGGGAGGCTGAGGCAAGAGAATTGCTTAAGCCCAGGAGTTGGAGGTTGCTGTGAGCTGTGACACCATTGCCTCTCTCAAGGGTGACATAGTAAGACTCTGTCTTAAAAAAAAAAAAAAAAAAGGTGGTAAGTCAGGCAGAGGCCCAGGGCAGGGAGGGGGGGAGCATCTCTATAAGTGGGAGACACTGGTGGGGAGGGAGGTAGTGGCTTCGGGAACAGGTGACAGCCTCAGATGCCTACAGAGGCCAGGCAGGTGATGTGGATGAGAGAGGAGGGATGGTGAGGTGGAAGTCAGGGTGGTGGGGAGGAGACCACCCCACGTGCAGAGCAGGCGAGCCCTCTGCAGGCTCAGCTGGCATCTCCACGGGGCCGCCCTGCAGGACCCAGGCCCAACACAGCCCCATCTTCATGGTTTTCATGAGAAATCAGGATTTTTAGATGAAATCTCACTCCTTTTTGATATATCAGTAACAATTTTTTTTAAAAATTAGACATAGTTCAGGGCAAATAAAACGTATCCATGACCCGTATGTGGCCCATGAAGTGTTAGTTCGTAACCTCTGGGGCAGTGATGACTCAAAGTCAAGCTGACATTCAGCCAGTTCCCATTAGTACTGGTTATTTGCAACTGGCATTCGTTCTGACTGGTTAAATATTTTGAATATCCCTGCTGAGCAGTAATGAATATAAAAGGTCTAGCGCCATGTCTGGCTCATAGAAAGTACTCAGGAAGGGGTAGCTGTTGTTATCATTGATGCTATAAAAAGATCAGAATAATTTGTAATTATCAACAAGCTGCTTCAACTCTTCTGCATTTGATAGGATTTCCAACTGATCAGTGTCTTCAATTCCCTCATGAGGGTTTAACAGTGACTTTCAAAGTGCAGTGAGTGGAGTGGACTGGACTATATATACTTCAGGATATTCTGCTACCAGCTCTAAGGGGAAGCAAGCCCCGCCCTTGATCTCTTTAGGCTGAATTATAAATAAGGATAAATGATACACCCCTGTCGCATTGGATCCCACCTGCCGGCATGCCTTTTACATAGCAGATGTGGGCCTTAGAGCTCCCCATACCCTATGCTCAGAGTTTATATTTCTCCTTTCTTAGCTGTCTGTCACTCCTGAAAGGCCCGTGGTGACAGTGTGCAGAGTTCCGTGTGCCCTGTGGGGTGGTAAAAGGCATGCACGTACCCGTCACTGTTCCTGATTCATGCCTGCGATTAGAGTGTGGTGAGAGAACGAGCGAGGAGCAATAAGAGAGGATTATATTCAAACATCAGTGAAGGGTGCTATTATTGGAGGTTCATTAAATGGGTTTTTTAAGTTATTCTCAGCACCATCTTTTATTGTGGTAAGGAGCTGTTTGGAGAGTATTGTTTGAAACTGTACTGAAATACACTAGCTTTGGTTTTCTGTGGCAGGGTACAAGAGTAATTTTTTTTTAACTGCATATCTGGTAGTGTCATTCTCTTGCTTAAAACTCCCCCAGTGGCTCTCTGTTGCCCCCAGGAGAGCATCTGTCGCTCCTTGACTTTTGAGGCCTTCCAGATCCTTCCAGCTTTAGCTCCTGACTCCAAGAACCAGCTTTCCTGGGCATCTTTCAGATCTTCAAACATGCAGTATCCTCTCTTCCCTTCCTCACGTCTCCTGCCTCCTCACTGAATCTGTAGAACGTCATCCCCTCCGGGAAGCTCTTGTTGATTCCTGAGTAGGGATCTGCTACTGTTCCATCAACAAACTCATCACTTGTGGTTATAATTACACGATCAACGTGACATCTGTCTTTTTGACTAGACTGTAAGATCGGGCCTTTCTCCGTGCCATATCCCAATGCCTCGAGTAAGGTTTTGCACATAATAGGTGGTTACTGAATGAATGAATGCATGCATGCATGGCCATAAAACAGGATGCTGTAAATACTTGGTGCTGTGGAACATAAGGAATCCTTTAGGGGTATACATTAGAGTGTAGGATGTTTTCTTATGTACAGCAGGGTGTCTCAAATAAATTGGTTGTTGTGTAAGTTACTACCCTATTTATAAAGAGCTGCAATTTGGCTGCTGAATTGCAAGCTGTCATGGCATCATGTGGTTGTGCAGTGTGCACCAGGAGAGTGTGCTGGTGAGGGAGTCCGGGTAGAGAGGGCTGCAGATTCTTGCAATCTAACCTTGCACAGTCCAGTCCTGCACTGCACCTGCCATGATGGAGCCTAATGGAGCCTCTTCAACCTTAATGTGCACACATGAGTCATCTAGGCATCTGGTTAAAACGCTTATTCTGATTCAGCTGGTCTGGGGTTGGGCCTGAGATTCTGCATTCCTCACAAGCTCCCGGGCAATAGGATGCTGCTGGACCACAGACTTGACTTTGTATAGGGCTAGACACGGTGCTATAGCACGCAGCAGCCCAGGT